CACAGCAACCTCCAACTCCTGGGCTTAAGTGATTCTCTTGTCTCAGCTTCCCAAGTAGCTGGGACTACAGGCACCTGCCACAACACCCAGCTATTTTTTTGGTTATAGTTGTCATTATTTGGAAGGCCCGGGTGGGATTCGAACCCACCAGCTCTGATGTGGCTGGCACCTTAGCCGCTTGAGCTACAGGCGCCGAGCCTGTTTCTCCCTTTAGATGGAAAATGTTTTCACTAGGTCCAGTCCTCTGAAGCAACTGACTTTGTGGCCCTAGTATAAAAATGATCTCTGAGCCTCAGTTCCTACATCCATAGAATGGGTGTTTAGTTATAGTAGGCAAGATACCCCAGAGAAGAACTTTCCTGCCTACAGAATATCCTAACTCCATCCCCAGCTCCTCTCATTTAAAAAAAAAAAAAAAAGGCCTCTTTGGTGGCATCTATTAGTCATTCAGAGAGCATAAATTACTCTGAATACATAAGTGGTTGTAAGGAAATAGAGAGGACTGAGATTCAGGGTTTGTTTTCTGCTTCTTCTGACTAAGACTAGCTATGTGGCCTCAGGCAAGTCATTCACCTGCCTCCATTTCTGCAATTCTAAAGTCTTTCAACTGTAGACACATTCAATTCTAAACAGAGTGTTTTTGCAGGCCAGGTTCATGAAGGAGTCTGGTCAAGAAGCCTTGGTTGACAGGGAGGCAGTCGTGAACATCAGAGCATAAGCTGCCTTAGGGAATCAAGTGACTTGAATTCCCTACCACTGACCACTTCTGCTTTTGAGCTATGTTTGCATCTGCTTTGCATATTTTCTCTTTTCTGATTGACAGCTGACAGTCACTAGGCATGCATTCCACTTCTCAAACGCAGTCATGGCTAACTACCCTTCCTGCTTGGATCCTTCTACCCTCAGCTCCCACATCTTGCCTGTTTACAAACCACTCACCGTGGTGCCTATGGCTCACCTAGTAGGATACCAGCCTAATATACCGAAGGTGGCGGGTTCAAACCCAGCCCCAGCCAAAATGCAACAACAAAAAAAAATAGCTGGGCCTTGTGGCAGGCGCCTGTAGTCCCAACTACTCAGGAGGTTGAGACAGGAGAATTGCCTAAGCCCAGTAACTGGAAGTTGCTATGAACTGTGACGTCACAGCACTCTACTGAGGGTGACAAAGTAGACTGTCACTCTAAAAAAAAAAAAAAAAAAAAACACTCATACCACATTCTCTCTTTTGTCTCACCTCCCTGCCTTCGTACCCTACTGGTCTTGCCCCTTGAAATTCCCTCCACTCCCTTATCGAACTTGGCAAAGTTGAACTTATCTAAGCACAGCAAAATTATCAAGAGGTGTTAGGACTTCGTGGGGAAGAGGGCCACAGATGATCTCTTTAGCATCTCCTATGTGTCATGGGCAGGTGGGGGGCTGGCCCCATTTTATAGAGACAGAAATCGAGGTTCAGAGACTGCCCTGAGTCACATGAGATCTGAGCCCATGCCACTGCCCACAATTGCAGAGCCCCCAGTCTGCCTCAATTACTTGCCTCCTGTCTCTCCATACTTTGCAGCATAGAAACTGTGTTTCCAGGTCACGGAGAGGAAGCTTGTCACACACAAGAACACACTTAATTCTTACTCCAACACCCTGAGGCGAGGGCTACTATTATCTTCATTTTATGGATATAGAGACTGAGGCTCAGAGCAGTGAAGCTACTTGCCTAAGATCCCACAGCCTGTAAGAGGCAGAGCTGGGATTTGAACTCCAGCCATCTGGGTCAGGAGCCTTGCTATTAAACACTATAGGCAGGTGTCTGTGGGTCACTCACCCATGTTCATCCCACTGGTTTTGAGCATCTGGCTGACCCACGAACATGTTCTCATAGTCTGGTGTGGAGAGGCGGCATGGGGCAGCCACTTGGGAATTGGGACTGTAGCCTCGACTGCTGTACCGTGGCTGCACACCAGAGCTGGGCCTGGGATCATCCTGAGCAGCCAAGGCTTTGCTCAGGTCCTGCCTTCTGGCCACCCTGTGTCTCCAAAATCTCCAGGCCAGCAATGGGCCAGCAATGGCAAATCCAAGAAACAGACATGCACCTGCTACAACTGCCCCAATGATTGGTGGGGACAAGCCAGGGGGACAGCTGACCTCCAGGAAGGTGGAGAGGTTGTGCCAAGCACGGGTGGCTGTGTCCAGGCACTGCAGCGGTGGGTGGCCAGAGCAATTGTCTCTCCAGACCTCATGCCAGGACGTCAGAATGCAGCTGCAGTCAGCCTTCAGGTCAAGGCCACAGCGTGCAGCCAAGGTCCCATCCACACGATCTAACCAATTGTCTGTCACATTTAGGACCTGCAGCTTCTCCAGTTGGGCAAAAAAGGTCGGTGGGAGCTCTCGCAGGTTGTTCCGAGACAGATCAAGAAGGAGAAGGTTGCTGGCCCGCAGAGACTGGTCTCGGGGCAGCCTCACACCTTGACCACTGAAATTTAGGCACACGGCATTGAACTCCCTCGTCCAGTTCACATCCTCCGAGGTAACATTGCACGAATGTCCTTGGCTGCCTGGATCCTGCAATAGCAGCAGCAGCAGCAGCAGCGGCGGCAGTGGCAGCACCCAGGCCAGGGCGCCCTCCATTCAAGCAACCTGAGCAGAGACACCGGAATTCAAGCCCTGACCTCAGCCCTGTGGCCACCCTCACTCTCATCCTCACCACCTGTGTTTATTATTATTTACTTTTGTTTTTTATAGCTCAAAACAGCTCAGGCCCTTTCTGAAATGGTAAAACGTAGCCCTTGTCTGTTTGAGCCACAGTGTCCCCTGTGGGAATGGGTACATAACCTTAATGACTAGTGGACTCGCAAAGCAAGGTGGAGGAGACATGGCCCAGTCAAGCCTTTCTGCATTTCCCAGATGAGCCCCTTTGGGACTCACATTTCCCCCACATTTTGGGGTGGGGCCATATGCAAATGAACGGTTATCTTAGAAGCACCCCTCTCAATCCCGCTAGCTGTTCTTCCTGGAACAGCTGGGTCACTGTGGAGTCCTGGAATGAGGTGGAGCCCCCCTGCCTCTGGTTTACAGCCCCTGCACAGGCCCAAATCCTCGCACCTCTGTCCTACCTTTCTGGTCGCACTCCCACACCTTCGCCTGGGCGGTGCTGGAAAGCTGGGGAGGCAAGAGGCTGTGTAGGGGCTCAACAGGACGAAGGGGGTCACAGCGGCCAGCACGCTCCGCAGATCTGTTGTGGCCTCGCACTACCACCAGGTTCTGCACCCTGCGAGTCAGGGGGAAGAGGAACTGGCAGCTGGGTGGAGTGAAGAGGGGAAGAGTGAAGACACACAGACCCGCCCCCTGCATGGCCTCAGGGTTCTCACGCTAGGGGGAGGGGTTGCCCAGGATCCAGCTTCCCTCTTGCTGGATCCCAACTGACTACCATCTCATCAACTTACATCTTCACTTCCACTCAGTTAACTCCTCATCCTACACATTAATTTATGCATTCAACAGACATACACATGCTAGACCCCCAAGAGGCCTCAGCCCTGGTCAGGAAGTACTCAAGGTGCATCCATTTGGGCCACAGACACCCCAAGGACCATGCAGTCAGGGAAAGGCAAGAGGAAGGGACAGGGTCTTCCTGGGTGGTTTCTTGAAGGAGGAGTATAGATACTAGAATTGGGGGTTTAACATATGAGTAGGAGTTTGCCAAGGATTCTTGAAACCTGTCACTGTTTCTCCGATCTCCTAGGTTCAGACTAAAGACTCAGAGCTTGAGCTCATCAGGCACAATGGCACCTCTGTGCTGGAGGGGGCTAAGAGAGGGCTCCTTGGGGAAGGAGATGCTGAGTCTGGGTCATGGAAGATGAATCAAAGCAGCAGACAGCAAGGAGCACATTTGCAGAAGCATAGCGCCCAGTGGCTTGAGAAAACATAGCTGGCCAGGGTGGTGTGGTTTTGAGTGACTGCAGCAAAGAGGCCAAGAGGCCAAAGGGAGGAACAAGTGTGTGAGCAGGGGACAGGTGGTGCAAGCTTCAGATCACAGGCTGGGACGTGGGGCTTTATTCATAGGGCATTGGGGAGCCAAGACAGGTATGTGACCAGAGGAAGTCCCTTGTGTCAAAAGCTCCCTCTGGAGTGAGCCTGCCGGCTGGAGGTGGGCAACCCAGAAAGGAAGCTGTGGCTTGAGTCAGACCCGGAGAGTAGTGACAAAAGTGAGATTGAGGAAGCATGTGCTTAAAAGAGTCTCAGCCACACCAAGTCCTTCTGGTGTCAGACAGACCAGGTTCAAGCCTATTCTAGCCCAATTCACTGTGCAATTTTAATTGCTCTGAGCTTCAGTTTACACATCTATAAAATGGGATGCATGCTAAAAGGCTTCTCCTGGACACTGGGAGGCTGCAAGCCCACCCCATGATTTCCCCTCTGCTCAGCCTCTGCCCTTGTCCCCAAACTTGGAAGAATGGTCAAAGGTATTGAATGGAGACTTTGAAGAAAGGCTACAGATTGCACTTTTGAGTAATGTTGCAAACAATGCATTCAAAATTCTCATTCCTGGCTTGGCCCCTGTGGCTCAAATGGCTAAGGCGCCAGCCACATACACCTAAGGTGGCAGGTTCAAATCCAGCCCGGGCCTGCCAAACAACAATGATGGCTGCAACCAAAAAATAGCCGGGCGCTGTGGAGGGAGCCTGTGGTCCCAGCTACTTGGAAGGCTGAGGCAGGAGACTCACTTGAACCCAGGAGTTGGAGGTTGCTGTGAGCTGTGATGCCACAGCACTCTACCCAGGGGGACAGCTTGAGGCTCTGTCT